AGTTATTGTTCATGCTCATCGGACTGTGCTGTGGGTTTTGCACTTGCTATTCACAGATCCATCGCGTTAATCTCCAAAACAACCTGGCACGGGGGGGGGGGGTATTTGGGACTTCGCACAATGGGGATTAGCCCTGTGGCATGATAAGAGTTAAGTATGCCAATGTTTGTTAGAACAAATGAATTATGCTTTGTTGTCTTTGCATTGAATATGATTCAAATTAAGCAGCCAATTAATCACTCATTTGCAACAAAATGCAAATGTTTGAGTTTGAAAAGTCATATTTGTTAATGTCACGAAATTTCAACCAATGCCGAGCATATCAAGGACTGTAATATCACTATATGGGTATTCTGCAAAATCTGTCATAGACCAGACGCAGGGAATTGTAGCATACAGTTAGATTTAATCGTTTATCTCTCGGATATTCGATATACATCACTAGTTGTATGCCTTATTAACCTCCCCTCTCCTCAGGCACATTTAAAGATAAGCGGGCACATTTACGGGCCGGTGATGATTTGACCACGTAAAACACATAAACTCAAAGAAAATCAATTTCGATTTAAAATGTTTGCCTAAATATGTAATAAAATAAATAAGAGAACATTGATAGCATTAACAAAACTGGGTTTTTGTCTTTATAGTGTATTTTCAGTTTATCGATTATTCTATAGAGACATGAAGCCATAAACATAGAAAACATACTACTGTTTGGAAATCGTTTTTCCCCTGCTCACCTTCTGCCAACCGCATAGCATTATTTGGTTTAAAAACATTATGGACATCCATCACAATGGATTCTCTTATTTTTAGGTGTAACTTCTTAAGGAGAAAATTGAATGATTTGCAACAAAATGCATTTATCGGTTCTAGGAATATTGCCCCCTGGGAAATCACCCCCCCCCCCAGAAAAATTATTACACTCCGGAAAATTACCCCCCATAGAATTACCCCGAGGACAATTACCCCCCGAGGATAACTACCCCGAGGACAATTACCCCCGAGGACAACTATTCCCCGAGGACAACTATACCCACGAGGACAATTACCCCCTTAGGAAAGCTACCCCTTTTGGACAATCAGGATTCAATAGCAAAAGACACATTGAGAGATGGCTACGAGCCCATAAGATCCTATGCATGAACCCATATTCATTCAAAAACTATAGCACTTTATCTTCCTCATTAGTACACATTTCCCTTTAATTATAATTTATGCAACGCCAGTGCGGTTGCTGATTTCCACGAAGGGTATAAGTTTTAGGTAATTTTCCAGCGCTTCTTAAAATGCATAGCAATACTTTCCTCTAGACTAGCGTTATATCAAGGCTCCCTCTCAAGGAATTAAAAGTTTCTCCCAAATCCCAAAGTCTTCACAGACTATTTTGTTTACATGACTCTGGCACTCGTCAAGCACACGTATGGGCACATCTGAGAATAAACACAAGGAGAAGACATTTTCAAAATGGTAAAAAAATAGTTTGTAATCAACGCACTAGAAACGATTTAAATAACAATAATAATAATTCGTCCTTATAAAGTGCATTTCAAATTCTCCACTCCCTGGGGAGCAATCAAGCCAGTCGCCATTTTACATGCGCCACTTGCTAATCAAACCACATTAACTTTCGCATCCTGCCGGGTACCCATGTAACACCTGAGTGGAGAGTAAGCCACAAATATATTTAAATAATTTTCTGGAATGTTTGAACTCTAGACCCATCCCTGGTGAGACAAGTGGAGTCTCTTGAATTTAAAATTCATCCGCTGCTAAGGCAGGAGAATTCAATAACCTATGTAGCATTTTCCATTAGTAAACCACCCAACTATCGATGTTAAAAACCATTCTGTTTGCTTTGTTTGTTATTGTGCGTGTGTGTGTGTGAGAGAGAGAGGGAGAGAGAGGGAGAGAGAGAGAGAGGAGAATATATGTTTATGTGTGCGTGTGTGTGTGTGTGTGTGTGTGTATGAATATGTGTGCATAATACAATGTAGATGAAAATAAGGCATTTTCTAGTGAACATATACATTAACAGTTAACAATTAAATTATTCATACCCCTGGGAAATTTGATGTTTTTTGTGTATTTTATTACTCAAGAATGAAATGTAGACTGGCTGAATAAAGGCCTTTGGTGAATACTCTTAACCCCCCCCCCCTTTAACTTTTTGTATGTATGTGTATTGGAGGAAACCCCCCTCCACCCCCCCCCCCCCTTTGTTTGTTTTTTAATTAAAAAAAATATTTAAAAAAAAAAAATTGTGATAATAGGTGACCCAAAAAAGCTGACCTCCCCCCACCCCACCCCCGCTTATTCAGCGGCTGGCTGAGTCGTTGCGAAATTGTCGGCGTGATTTTTACATTTTAACCCCCCCCCCTCGAAAAAATCCTGCGTACGCGCATGATATGAACTGCATACAAATTGTAGTGATCCGCCATTTTGAATTGGGGCATGTTTTGTAATTGATTTTTAGAGTATAGCTATAATGCTATGAGCTTTGAAAAAAAAAACAATTGCAGTTTATATACGTTTTTAAATTGCAATTAAATATTAATATGAAATACTTGATTCAATATAATTAATAAAAACAATGTGAATACCAACTTTCCATTCCGCCATTTACTTTATTACTAAGTTTGCCTTTTATACATTTCTTGTTGCGCGTGATAATACAAATGCTAGTTCCAGTAATGTTCAGATTTGTCATGCTTTGTATCAGCAGTATCAAAAATTTACTAGCAATTCCACATTGAAACGAAGTACAATACAGGGTGTACCTGAAAATAGAAATCCAAGCTTAGATTCGTAAAACTCAATTCTTCTACTACTAAAAAAAATTATTAATTTATACATCACCCGAAAGCTCATTTTCCTTTCTATTGTATGACAACTAGAATGTGATCATTAAATCACATATTTTTGTTCTTTTTTCTGCATTTTTTCTGCATTTTTTCTGCATTTTTTCAAAATAAAATATAACTGAATACCAAAGAACATATAAATGTAAGGTATAATACAATATAAACAAACAATAATTTCTTCATGTCAAAATATTTGTTTACATAATATATGTACATTCAATAACGAAACTTATTTTTTCCATAACATATTATCATAAATTTTAAGTATTATCCGTACTATTCTGTTGGGAAAGTGCAGGAGACCGCAATCATAAGCAAAGCTTGACAAGGATTGTGTATGAATTGTACAAGTGTATATATATATATATATGACTGATTAAAGACAGTCTGAAGTGGCACTGACAAGAAAACTAAACGAATCAATGATAGTCGTTTTGACAGACAAATGATTTGGAAATATTAATTATTGAAACTCATCATGTAAAGCCTGATATTCTTATCTTCCATTTTAATCATTTTAAGGATAGCCTAAATACCCTTTTTTTTTTACACAGTTACTTCAAAAGGTTTTTCTCATGTGATTATTAATTTCGTCATATGTACATTTTTTGGCCTACATTTGCACCTATATATTTTTGTCTTACATATACATTCGTGTAAGTTAATCATGTATAGGGTTTAGAGACAATTAACCTTAGGCGCTGTATGAAGGTAAATCATATATTCGTGTATTAGCTTTTCTGTATTAACCAAAAGTAATTGAGGAATATTTAGTAATTTAACGATAAACTTGGGTCTCCTTTTTCAGGGACACCATGAACAAAGAAATTAATGCTTGAACAAAATTGGTAACGAATACAACCAAAATAATCTAGAATAAATACATATTTTCCGAGTAACATATGGTGATATCAATTTTGACAAAGATACTTTAAATCGAAAGGCACAAAAAACTATATAGGCACTTTGTTCATTCAACAACTAGGTAAATTCAAGAATTGCAAGTATTTGTCATTACTTGAAAAAGCAAAAAGAAAAAAATTGTATATTTTGTATCTCCTACGGTTTTTTCATAAGTTTTCCTCACTGCTTTATTTTTCGTCAACCGACGCAGGATATATACGTATATATACGTTTATAGATGTTTATATAATTCTTCATGAGATTTGCCAATTCCATTGACACAACTGGATTCGCAACGGAGCTAAATTTTTCAATCTTCGCAACAACAACAAAATCAAAAAATAGGACACCAATGGGGAACCATCATTGTCTAATTTCCTTTCGCATTATAAATATATACATATATATCATGACATGACTAAAAATTACTAAACTGAATTGTAAAAAAATCATCGTTTCATCATCATCATTATACTTTTTTTCAAAAAATGGAATGACCGGTTCACTGAGCAATACACCACAAAGTATCATTTCAAAACATCTTCTGATCATGAATACTTCGATAAGGATAATATGTTTTGTACAGACATAATTCCTGCATTAAATATAACAAAGATGATAACAAATAACAATCACCTGCTTGCCTGAATATATGTTGACGGACTTTTGTAAATTGTAAATTGCTTGGGGAAGGGGGATGGGCCGGGTTCAATGTGGTCTAGTTGTTAAGGCATTGGCGTTCTCAGCAAGTAAACCGGTTCGATTCAAGGCAGAACAGAAATTAAACCTTTGCAAACAAATTTTTTAAAAGGAAAGCAATAGGGTCCTTGGATTTTAGCTACTCAATCATTATATTCTAATTTCCATTCGCAATATATACATATATACATCATGTCATGATTAAAAATTACTCAAATGAATTGAAAAAAAACCTATCGTACCATCATCACCATCATATTTTTCTCAACAATAAAAAGACGTCTTCTTTGAGTATTACACCACAGAATATCGTTATAAAAAAATCATCTGATCATGAATACTTCGATAACTATCAATAAAATTGTCAGATAATTGTTTTTCATTGAAATATAATAATATTATAATAAAAATCAATCATCTGGTCTCCCAAATATGTGGTGACGGACTATTGGTAATTGCAAAATGCTCGGGGAAGGGAAATGGAGGGTTCAGTTAAGACCCAGCCCCGCTCCCCCCCCCCCTTCCCTAAGGGATTATGCAAATGTACAATCATGTTCTCTTAATAAGACCTTATTCTTGCTTTAAATAAATGAATAAAACACCCTTTACATTTTTTGTAATCAGGTAAGAATGAAGACATCGCTAAAGTCAAAACCTCAACTGTGCCTTTGGCCTTTCAAAAATCGGTGGTGCCACTGAATCTATGTCACTGCTCTAATTTCTTCTGATGTCAACCGTTGAATCCATTGGAAGATTGACGGCAGCATCGCTAGTTACAGAAGCAACATCATCACTCCTCTCATTGTGTATGGTGTCATCCTCTGCACCCTAAGGGATACTGGTGGCAGCATCATTGTTGGTGGAAGCAACATCACCGGTGGCCTCAGTAGCTTTCATGGCATTAGTTGAATCCAGAGTAAAACTGACCGTGTCAGCATCCGTGGTGGAGAAAACATCATCATCTCTCTTAGTGACATTTGTGACAGATGCATCAAGAAGAAGACTGACCGTCACGACATCAGTGCTTGTTGGATCACGATCCGTGTCCTTCTTCTGTTCCTTGGTTGAACTTTAAATATCTTTGTGCATAGGTGGTGTGACCCCTTCCTCAACCTGGCTAACATCAAAGGTCGGATTGAACATACATGTACACATAGGATCGGGATTGTCGTCTTCGGTAGCCAACACGAAATTACCCGTGGCTCCTGGGCGCAATATGCCAGGTGACGAGGATGGCACCGTCGAGCTTACCCCACCGCTGGAAGTGCTTGCTTCTTTCTTTAGGAACTTGTCGAAACAAGTTATCCCCCATTTCTTACGGATATGAGGCTTCCGGGCGCAGTAGAGTAGAAAGATGAACAATCCCTGGAAGGAGTTGAGGACGATGAAGATTGGCTGGGCCACCTGTTGAACGCAAATGTTCCAGAAATATTATAATTACGTATATGGCATTCCTACATGTTCTTCAGGTACTAAACATCTAAAGTGGTATTACTTGGGTATGTAATTATCATAACCGAGTTCTCAAGATACTTCTTAGAAGAGAAAGATATCACACATGAGTTATTCTTTAAACTCGTTGGCTTTACCTGACTGAATGACGGGATCAAAAGAAGATATCCGGTGATCCAGGTCAGACCGAGCAGAAGCAAGATGCAGATCGCGTTCTGGACGCGTTCGATAGTCTCTTGACGTTCTGCCTTAGCCTCTCTTTTCACCCGGCCAGTGAAGTTGGCTGACCGGAGCAATTGTCGAACCACCAGGATGAAGATGACAATGTTGATGAGGAGGATGATGGACATGGGAATCAGGAGACCACCGATTTGAGCCCAGAATTGTAGAAAGCATCTATTGATAGTAAATATGCATTTTGTAATGTGACTGAATCAAGTCAATCAGTACTGACTTTCTTAGCGATAGTTATACAAAATGTCCATGGTCCTTGAAACAATTTATCTGAGAAATTGTCAAGGTAAATCATTTCCCATTATTTATTTATTTGCTTTCACATACATTACTAAAAACATCTGAGCTTTTAGTATGTGTGGTGAATGTGCTTTCTAAAGCTTGGATCACAACACATATCCATGAAAGTGGTACCTAAAGTAAACTCCATCTTCATGATCGCTTTTAATTATTGCTTCATCTGTTCATCGGGAGTCATCATGTGATTATGAGATTATTACAACTATAATGGAAACAATTGGACATGTTCAGGTTGAATCATTTTGTGCTATGTGTAACATGTGTGACGACAATCGCGTCGATCGAGATTAAGCCAAGGGATGGCATGGGTATGCGGGTACACATGAAATGAGCAGAGTTGAAAGAGCAGAGGAGAGACCAAAGAACCAGCGAAGGAGAGAGCAAATACGAGATATGGTGTGTTTCGAACGAGTAGTCTGACAAAGGTTTAGCAGGGAAAGTGCAGTGATAGAATTAGAAAGGTATAAAAATGAATTTACACAGGACAGTAGCCTAGTCACTGTCGGACACTACTAGACTTATATTATAGACCCAACTACAAGTATTCCCACTGGGCAATTTTGCATCAACTGTTACCACTTACAGATCATCTCGGGCGTAAGATCCTCTAGCAATAGCTCCGGTAAGAACCACGATTAGTGCAGGAATTCCTGAAATTACAAACGTGCAATTGTAAGGAAATACATTGTTTATAGTTATTCATAACACGCCTACACTGGACATGGGCCAAGCTAGCTCATTCCTTTCCCCGTTTCTCTGATATGCCTTAGTCCAGTAGACGGTACCATAGACCATGTACATGACCTGGAAAAGTTGATAAGTACAAGGTTTTTTTGTTGATTCGTGTTCTAGATGGGTATTGAAGTAAATTCAGCTTGGTTGCCAGCTTGGCAACTTTTTTAATAGCCATATTAGCATAATCATCTAATTAGCATTTGTGCAATTTGTGATAATGTTGCTAATCTCAATCCAGGAAGCATGAAAACATGGATAATACGACTTTTCAAGGGTTTTATATGACAAGGAATTCATTTATGACACCAATTTTTATTTTAAGTAATACAATTGTCTTAAATAGCATAATTAGCATAATATGTACAATATATGGACTTCATTGTCAGTGTTTGTCTATAAAGCCTTAAAATGGTGCAATGCAACATTGTAAATCACTTTTGAAAGAATAATCATTAATTCATGAGAAGATATCCCATGTATACGTAGTATAATTAGCCTTATTAGCATTATAATCTAATTAGCATATATGTGCAGTATGTAATAAGGTTGCTTATCTTAATCCAGGAAGCCTGAAAACGTGCATATTGTGACTTTTCAAGGATTTTCCATGACCAGGAATTCATTTATGACACCAGTATTTATTTTAAGTAATGAATTGTCTTAAATAGCATCATGATGAGCTAATTAGCACATGTACGATGTATGGACTTTGTTGTCATTGTTTATCTATAAAGCCTAAAAATGGTGCAATGCAAAATTGTAAATGACCTTTTGAAAGACTATACATTAATTCATTAGAAGATATTCCATGTAGATGTCGTATAATTTGCCTAATTAGCATATACACTGTATATGCAATATGTAATAATGTTGTTAATCTTAATCCAGGAAGACTGAAAACATGGATAATATGATTTTATGATTTAGTTGTGACACCATTTTTCATTTTTAACTAATGCAATAAGCTTAATATGTAATTATTGTACTAATATTAAATAAGCTTAATTAGCATATATGTAGAATATTAATTATTTGGGACTCTATTTAGCTTCACAAATTGTATGTCCAATGTGGTGGTTATCTTGGTCGCAAGGCAATGTTGTCGAACCTCATAAAATGTCTAGGAAATGACGAGGTCATCGTACGCATTGATGGTTGGGCTTCAGTCATTGGATTTAGAGAGACTGTCAAAAAAACACTAAAGATGGTTAAAGCAGATGATAATGATGGAATCGATGATGTGATGAGACAGGTACTATATAGGCCAGGGATGTTGAATACAACAGTGCGAACTATGATCTGTCTATGTTTACCAAAGCCAGAACCATTGAGAGTACAGGCCCGACGTTGCTCAAGCTTGTGGCAGAATTCCTGGAAAAGTCATATTATCCATATCCATATCCATATCCATATGGGGGCGCCAGCCCCCCCCCCCCCAATAAAATTGAACCATGACTTATTTTCAATTCCATATACAAATTATGTATAAATGTTCGTGATATCACATGATTTTCAACAAATAACGCGTTTCTGTTGCAAACTGACACATTCCCAAATAGCCAGGAAGAGCGTATGTTTGTTATAGTCACTAAGGGGCCTTATAGTGGCCACTAACAGTAGTAAAATAATTAGTAAAACATTAGTAAAAAAATTCCTTTCCAGAAGCTACTGTGACAAGCACTGCCGAGAGATACATGCTACCCACCACTCGGACTGAGCATGCACAGATTTGCGAACGAGCGTTCAATAGTTACATCATGTAACACTGCACATGGGGCCCAGTCGGGAAACTGAATTCAGACAAGAACACGATACAACGAATCATCGTCTCTCTCTTATAATTTAATGACACGTGAAAGCTTCCGCGCTTCGCGCGGAATGGGCAAAAATGAATTCAGACATGGATTAAGATTTATTTATTGAAACATTAAAGTTTCCGCGCTTTGCGCGGGAGGGGAGGGGGGGAGAACTGTTTTCAGACAAGGATTAAGAGTCGGGCCTGGTACAATGAATCGTCTTCTTTCTCTAATCATTTAATGAAACGTGAAAGCTTCCGCGCTTCGCGCGGGATGGGCGAAAAAGAATTCAGACAAGGATTGAGAGTAATAATTGAATAAAACGCAAGGCTTCCGCGCTTTGCGCGGGAGGGGAGGGGGAACTGAATTCAGATAAGGATTGAGAGTCGAGAACGGTACAACGAATCGTCGTCTTTCTCTAATAATTTAATGAAGTGTCAAATCTTCCGCGCGAAGTGCGGAAGGGGGAAAACTGAATTCAGACATGAACACGATACAACGAATCATCGTCTCTCTCTAATAATTTAATGACACGTGAAAGCTTCTGCGCTTCGCGCGGAATGGGCGAAAATGAATTCAGACAAGGATGAAGAGTAATGAATTTAATGAAACGTCAAAGCTTCGGCGCTTCGCGCGGGAGGGTAGTGGGGGAGAACTGATTTCAGACAAGGATTAAGAGTCGGGACTGGTACAATGAATCGTCTTCTTTTTCTAATAATTAAATAAAACGTCAAAACTAAATTCAGACAAGAACACGATGCAACGAATCGTCTTCTCTCTCTAATAATTTAATGACACGTGAAAGCTTCCGCGCTTGGCGCGGAATGGGCGAAAAAGAATTCAGACAAGGATTAAGAGTATTGAATTTAATGAAACGTCAAAGCTTCGGCGCTTCGCGCGGGAGGGGAGGGGGAGAACTGATTTCAGACAAGGATTAAGAGTCTGGACTGGTACAATTAATCGTCTTCTTTCTCTAATAATTAAATAAAACGTCAAAACTAAATTCAGATAAGAACACGATACAACGAATCGTCTTTTTTTCTCTAATCATTTGAGTAAACGTGAAAGCTTTCGCGCTTCGCGGGGGATGGGCGAAAAAGAATTCAGACATGGATTGAGAGTAATAATTGAATGAAACGCAAGGCTTCCGCGCTTCGCGCGGGAGGGGGGATGGAACTGAATTCAGATAAGGATTGAGAGTCGAGAACGGTACAACGGATCGTCTTCTTTCTCTAATAATTTAATGGAGTGTCAAAGCTATCGCGCTTCGCGCGGGAGGGGAGGGGGGGGGGGGGACTGATGATAATAACTTAGTTCCTGGCCCGGGTTTATAGGGTTAAATTTGTAGGCATGAATATATTTGTCGGTAATTGATGGCCTGAAAATGCGTCTAATTTGATTCTAAAATTGCAAATGCTTCTTACTCTAGGAGGGGCCAGAACCCCCTCCCAGACACACCGCCGCTTGGTCGCTCCGCTCCCTCGCCGCCTAAGCCTCGTTCTGTCGCTTCATCGTTTCACATATACTTCACCCCATGCCATTTTGTGCCCCCACCCCCCGGTAAGAAATTCCTGGATTCGCCACTGATGCCCATACCCATGAGCGGGCCCATTAGACACTACTTTGATAACTGTTCAGCGGGGCCTGCATGTTAGAGTGGGGGTGATGCGGATTTTTTTTTATCAGCCCCCCCCCCCCCCCCCAAAAAAAAAAAAAAAAAAAAACGTTTTTGCTTATTACGCCATTGCTCCCATGGGTTTAGAGTCTTCTTTGTACAAATCACATGCCATGCCGATTATTATATATCAATTACACATTAATGGCGACCTATGACGAATTCATGGGCATTGTTAGATGACGAACGGTAAAACTTCATCAAGGGCCTATCAACTTTTACTCAACACCAACTACAATCAGTTTCCTCCCCATCTCGTGGCCGACGTCACCACCAATCTCATCCTCCTCGGGATCAACGACGACCCACCCATTACTGCCCAGGCCCTGAACCCTAATGCCGCATCCCTTAAATGTATCCTTGAAATGCACTTGAAATGATCTAGTTTTGCGAACAAAGCAGCTCCTGCATTAGCCGTCATTAGCACATATTGTGACCTCCTACATTTATGTACCCCTATTATATTGTCTGCCTTTTCTCTATTTGACTCAATCTGCGAAGGGTACAATTCTGCAGTTGTATGAAATCTGGATGAAATCAAGAAGAAGAGGAAGATGCCTGTTGGACTATAGTCCGTCTCAGTGTGATCTTTACATACGTATTGTCAATTTAATTAGCATGGTTCAATGAATATAGTACACTGCCAGAGGTTTTGAATTACTTTGTTCTTTAGAAAACAGTGGGGGAAAATGTCCTTTGTTTAATATATGAATTGTAAAAGAATTACATTTGATCGCCCATTCTTTATTTTTGTATTGCTGTAAGTTGATCGCAGCAAAGCAGGTTGTCGGACCATGCCAAATTTATACTGTTAGCACCTACATGTATAGTTCAAACAAGTCTGTCAAAGGTATCTGATCTAGAGACATTCTATAGGTATGTAAAAAACATAAATTTCTTACCCCATGCAGCTAAGAAAGCCTTGAACATGAAATTCTGGATGTAGGTGTTAAAGATCTTCACAATGATGAGGTAGATATTGTACCCCTCTACACCCATCCATGCAATGGAGGACAAAACGAAGTAGTGAACTAGGGCCGTCAGGAACCCACAGGGTCCAGCTTGGACCTCACGATAATCTCTGATAGAATCCAGTGAGATCATGATGACAAATGTCGTGTAGAGACACAGCAAGGTCAGGCACAGATAGATGAAGATCTGGTTAGTCTGTTTGGTCCTTAAATCCCTATGAAGATCAAAATAAGGTTAGAAAAGCGTCGAAGCAATTTTGTACCATATGTACAGGTCACGTCATTAGCAACACAGAACATAGAAACATCAAACAACATGAAAAAAACAAAGTAAAATGAAGGGGAAAATCTTTATAAAATGAAGGAGAATACTTTATTTTGCTTTACATATATACATGTATCTCTTCTATTTCTTGGCACAAACCATTAGAATGGCCACGCGTGTTGAATACAATTTATCATGGTGTAACTATTAAGGACGATGTCGAATGGGAAATATATATATACGCCAAAGATGTTCGAAACGAATATGCTTTCTATTCTATGCAAACCATTACGCAGATGATTCGATCTACGAATTTGATAGAATATCAATATATAATATTGGTGCGATATAAACAAATTAATAATGTAATATATTTATGACCCTCATCACACCACCCCTACACCACCAAGCAACTAATCATATGATGGTGTTTTCTCTCTCTTCTTCTTCTTCTCCACTTGTTCTTCTTCTTCTCCTCCTCTCCTCCTCTTCTCCTTTCTATCATGAACTGTACATTGTTGATAGTAGTCCTCAACAGTTCTGCTGGTTCAAACAGAAGTGATATCGAACAGAACTGTGCTGGAGGTTTATACGTATTTCACAAATCATTTGATTAAGAGATACTTGCAATTTGCAAGATTATTTAATGAATTCAAAAATTGCATCTTTTTTATAGTTTATGTAATTATTGTTTGTTCAAAAACTAACATATAAAAATCGAAAATAAAACGACCAGAGAATAACTATATATTATGTCCCTTTGTATTACATTAATGATGGCATTTTTTTTTCTCAATGGGCTCACTTGTTCCACAAGTAGGTTGCCAATGTCACAAGAAGACTGAAAATAGAAATACAGCAGCCAATGTAAGTCAGGATGTTGTAAGCCTCGATTGGTGAATTCTCCGGTCTATGGATATCCTGTAACATGAAAGAAATTTGAGCCCAAACTGAAACACATTCTTCGAATGCCCAAATAAATCTGAGTATTAGACCATCGGCTCTCATAAGGTCTTTGTGTCATTATTTGAAAACTGAGAAATCCGAGGCTTATTAAAGTGGTAGAACCTCCATATTACTGATGGAAAACAAAGAAAAGAATGTCACTTTACTATCTTTCACACAAAACATCACATCTCCAAACTTTATTCGATCTCAAAAGTGAGAAAATTATTCAAACCGAGTTGAAGACCAGCTCTATACTCCAGCGTTCTTCGGAAGTAAGAGGGAAATTGTAAAAGGGGAAGAGGTCGAAAAATGACTGCTCGTCCACAAACACCTGTTAGTATTTCTTGGACCAACTAAACCCCTGGGTCATCAAGAGGACTATTACACTATGGGCGTGTTTATGCTTCACTTTTTCTGGCCAGAATCAGGCATCTGTTACGCGTTTAGTTTAAAACACGGTTGCGTCCATGCTCACTTTTGTAGAATCACCGAAAAACGGCGATCACGATCGCCGATCGTAAACTCACAAAAAGATGCGTAAAATTGCCTGGAGGAGCCAGAGAAGTGAGCATGAACAGTACACCGTGGAACTGCGATTACGATGAGCGTTTACGATGAGCGTTACAAATCGCTCATTCTCCCTTCAAAATCAAGCATAAACGCGCCCAAAGTCTCTAGTAACATACTGCGTTTATATAGTTAGTAAGGGCTACAGTTATCCGGGGAGTAGTTAAATGGTAAGAATGGATATAATAAGTAACTAATATTGTTTTTCACTGACCATTATAACAGCGAAGTTGGTAAGATGATCACACGCCCAGCGCACTCTCTCCTCATCATAACGCTCATCAGAAGATGTGATTCCAGAAACAAGAACACACCCATCTTGGGACCAATCTTTCTGCTCCTCATCCCAGAATGAACAATTGGGATTCGTGTAGCCAGACTACATAACAACAACAACAAAAACAGCAAGAAATGCATAGACCCATAATAACATTTGTTAAAGAAGGCATGAAAGTAGAATAAATGATAATCTGATTGTCAGTTTAAAAGCCCAAGTATTATGAGAGGAATCAAACACAGGAGTTAAAAAAGAAAAACATAGGCTGAGATAACAATAATAAATAATACATTATCCCCTATATATATATATATATATATATGTGTGTGTGTCTAGAAATTTAATTCTCTATAAATACTGCTAAATGTAGATTACAAACATGTGATAAACACGTTATTCTGGCATTTTATTGTTACGATAATAATAATAATATCGCTTTCATATAGCGCTTAATACATCTATGATGTCTTTAAGAGCTTTACAGATATACTATTACCCCGGCCATTGGATTCAATACTTGCCCGAACACATTCTGTGCACAATCTCCACTTCCTGGGTCTTACCGGGTACCCATTTAACACCTGGGTGGAGAGCAGCAAGTGCAGGTTAATATCTTGCCAAAGGATATTAGTGCCGTGTCGAGATGCGAACCCTCGACCTTCGCATCTCTAGTCAAGCGCATTAAACCACTCGACCAAGACACTATAGATCTTACCATTATTGTAGTGAAGGTAAAATTGATGAATTCGTTCAAGGCTGCTACTTTCCCTTGACCGATACTGAGAGAAATCACGTGCGAGTTCGCCGATCGATTGAAGCCTTCATTATCTGCACTGATTGTGCGCAATGATTTAGAAATGAACAGGGCTGGACTTGAAAATACATTGAAGTTGACCCGGATGTGGTCACCACTGCCATTCGACGGAATGATGGATGAAACTGAAGGTGGAATGTTGACCTGAGCGATGGTGTCTGGTATGTTAGCATCTTGGTCATCTGGAATCGGAGGACTGATGGTAATATTGGACTTGGTCAGGTCTGAAAGACTGTATACAGCTAGCGAAATCACGAGACCGCTCATTACGTCGTCAGCAAGTACACTCTGAACCTGTTATGTGAATTACAACTTCAATTATTATTATTATTGTTATTATTGTTATTATTTATATTATTATTATTATTATTATTATTATTATAATTATTATTATCGTTATTATTATTATTATTATTATCAATATTATTGTTATTATCATTCTCATCTTCATCATTATTATGTGAATTAGAACCCCAATTACTATTATTATTTTTTTTAATTATTTTTATCATTATTATTATTACTATCATTGTGAACATCATTATTATTGTATTCATTATTTTTTATTATTATTATCCATATTATCTGAAAGTGAGAGAAGGAACATTTGCTCATGCACGATGTAAAATGATCTCCCTTGATAAATTCATAAAAGCAGATCAATTGAGGTGTTCAAAAATATATTATTAAGATTTCGATTGGAACATACTTAATTGTTCCATTTTTTATGTTCTGTAGTCTGATTAAAAATCTATCAAGAATTATTACCTTATCCTTTTATTTTATAAAGATTGGTTAAAACATTACGGAAAATCTGAGACACTGTCTGTAATCTTTGCTTGAAAAATGACTGACAGTTTCAATCATTTGGGATTGCAGACAAAAAGCACTGTATGATGTTCGCGCTCGGACAAAGAACATTGTAACACTTAAAGTAGTGGGTATCGCAGCAAAATTTTACTATTTTCATGTTAACCAAAATTTCGAGGGATCTCACTCTTGAACTATTAAGCGGTATTGGCATTGTTCGTTTCTTTACAGGGAATGGCTAAAATCACGACTCTAACTTCGACCATTCAGATGGATGGATTTCTTAAGTGAGGTATATAATAAATATCATTATTATTATTTTTGTTTTATAATTGTTTGTGCCGCGACTTGTTGGACACCAGATTGAATAAGACCACAATGAAAGAATGGCAGTGTCAGGATTTTTAAATTTTGTTATCTATGCAAAAAAAGGGAAAATAAACGTGAACATGAAATTCTATATTTTAGTATACTGGTTGAAATCAAATTATTTTTTCATAACCTAGGATATAGGCCTAAATGTAAAATCACCTGTACGGCTACATTTGGCTGCTGAATGTTGAGCATCCCACCATCGGCAACCTGAACATGACTGATTTGTTCCTCAAAAGCCTGGACAAACTTACTTATTGCCCCACCTTCGTCCTGTGCGGCTTCAAGTTCTTCTGTTTCTACCTGAGCTATATTGTTCACAATACTCGTTATAGACTTTGTTACCTGTCAATCCAATCACAAAAGAAGAAGATGGTTTAAACCATAGTAGGAGAAAGTTGCCAAAGCCCGGAAATCAAACTGAATGACAATAGGATATTAAATAACATGACAGCCCTTTCACAGCTTTTATTTTAAAGCTGTTGAACAACTTCTGGAAGAACCAACCGTCGAGGGGTCAAAAAGATATGTTAGGGCAGTTAAAGACCTAAATCTGTATTGGAACAAATTACATATTATACAAATTGTCCAAAAACAGCCTGATGCGGGGTAAGGTTCCTTCATTCACAGTAGTTTAGCTTCAAGGCCTCAAATATTGTTAAAAACGGTTATGGGATTTACCTCTTTCATATTCTATAAACAATTTATATATGTATTGGAGGGAAAACTTCACTTTTTCCCCATGAGATATTTATCGGAACATAATAAAATTCATCAACCATCGCAACGTCATATTCAATAGGATCGGTCTGGTATCGTGCAGAATACCTCTTCACTAGTAAGATTTAGCTTCACAATGTTTGATGTTATCTCTGCCACAAACATGATGTCATCTGATGTGATATCTTCGATGTTGGAAGTAATGTACGCAACTTGCTGGCTGACTTCAGCTGCGTTTTCTTCACTTACGATTACCTAAAATTTGAGGGGAAACTATTATTACAGCATGTACACTTTGAGTTGAGTGATAAAACTTTCCCTCCCTAGGGCCCGCCCCCCCCCCCCCACTCAGTGTTATTTAGGGAACGCGTATGCATGTTCCCTCTCTTTGAAATCCCCCCTAAGTCCGCTGTGTAAAGTCCATACTGGCCGATTATTTTTTTTGTGTATTACGAGCCGGACTTTGTTGTGTGAAAGTACCCTTTTACCGGAGATCTGGGGAACATGAATGCGGTCCCTCCGTTCCCGGAGTGGGGGGGGGGGGGTCTTAAGGTAACATCAACAATTAGCGAACGCATTCCCCTTACAATATTGCAATGACAAATAAGTAGGTTTCTTTTTCCATATACCATCTTAATTATAACAAAAATTAAGGATGTGTCCTATAATATCTAATTTCACAACTCATGAACCGGCAAATGGTAGATTATTTCCGAATAAATTATCGCTACGGTTGTCAAATGATTTTAATCAGACCAACATCTTATAAATGCAATAATTCGGTAAAATTATACCAGTGTCAAACTATGTTATGACTTTCAATGCCGTATCAAGAGTGCTCCTATTTTAGTATTGTCAATGAATATGACAGAGAATATGCTGCCGCCTTGAATACAAATCTTCCAATCCATTTGTGAATGGAATGATATTAAAACAATCAGTATAATTGATTGAACATGGGCTATTTATTACCTGTTAGACATGATTTCATAGTTTTCAAATATAAAGTAAGGATACACTCTTTACAAAAAAAAATTAATAAGAATGGAAAATGAATGTCTATTGTGTAAAATTGTACACATTACTGGTAAAAAAAATAATGTAAAGAATCGGGTGAAATTTACCCTATAATAGGTCATTTTATACCTATCTTTTTTTTATAATAATGTTTTTAAAAAAATTCAGGTTGTAATTGTTAGTGGTATCTACAAAATACTAAACACAAATGCACTACATATGAAGATTATTAAAAAATCTTTTTTTCAATGATCGAAATATGAAAAGAAAATTCTAAAAAAAAACCTGTGTAATTTCTGTGAGAGTATCTGTGACATTTCTAAATGGTCCGCAATTATCCACAGGATACCACTGGCTCTGGGTAATACCATCGCCAAAACACAGAGCCCGTCCGATCGGTTCATTGGCTGTTCGGTATATAAACAAATACACACATAATATCAAAAGAACACTGACAAACAATTATTACCATAGAAGGAGACATAATAAAAGTAAAGAAGAAGCGTCTATGATTACAATTTTCTCGAGAAATTCATGACTCTGGAAATAGTCAATACATTCAACAACACGCGCGGATCTAGTATATAAATCTAATTCTGAGGGCTAAGGGCTTGGGGTTCCTGCATTCATTTTCTACGTGTGCCCCGCATATTCATTTTTATTCATGAAAACAGTTTGGGGGCTTGAATATCTATAGAAAGGGGCTTTTAGACTCCATGCCCCTATCTTGATTCGCTAGTGGTTACCACTTGACTGCTACCCACATACACTATGTGTTATCGCTTTTGTATGCCTGTGCTTACCACGTAAATGTACGCGCTTAGGGCAGTGCACTTTCAAGACCGTAGCACTGCACAATGCCAAGCCCTGCTGTGTAATTAACACTGCAATGATGTAATACAGGTCTTGAACAGTAGATGGCGCTCTTCCAAAAAAAATCTGGCTTTTGATGTGTACAGTGTACAGTTTTTGTCAGGTTTTTGTACAGTACAAAAATGCTGTAGCACAGGGGGTATGAACGCGTTTTAAGCCAATAGCAGTCAAGTGGTAAATAACGAAGTGAAACAAACTACATCGACTGAACATCATGAAAGTAAGGATATTTTGGAAATGATATTGCGAGTAAATAAGTCGTTTTCTATCGCGCAATTGCCATTCATTAACACGTTACCCCCAAAACGCGTTTTTTTTTTTTTTTTTTTTTTGCAGCGGATTACCGCGCCATATTTGAACTAGCCTATAGGGAAATTATCATAATGACCGTGTTATCCAACCTAATCCCCCGTCTAATTCCTCAAATAAAAAAAATGAATTAAAGACCATGAAAACCAACCTTGAGTAGTGTTGAATGGACACATTCCTGTTGAATTCGCCCACGTACCGTTTTCACCCACCGGAAATTCGACTTCTTCAAACCGAGGAGATATCCATGAGATATTCTGGCAAATAGCTTCACAAAAAAGAGTGAATAAAAAGTATTAAGACAAAGCCCCCGATAACGTTTAATTCCACGTATGTTTATGAATTTTAAAATGAATTGCTGCAAACTGTGTAGGTATTCCTGTTTCCAAGAAATGTCCAATGCTAGGGAAGCAAAACGTGCAGCGAGAAGGCGACTAGTTTAATTCGTCAATGCGCCATGATTAAGACGGGAAGGTGAGAAGGTGAATCGTCAAAACACGTCAAGGCGCCATATGTTTAAGTGAGAAGCGAGAAGGGGTGTAATAACAACTTGCTAAAGCCCCTTCCACACTGGATCTGCGTAGAGTTGCGTAGTGTGGCGTACCGAGTACGCCGAAATTAGGCTGCGTATTCATGAAAAAAAGTTGCTTCGGCGTAGTCCCTGCTTAGATTATGCGTAGACTTGCGTACAAAATGCGTACTTTCCGCGTCTAGTGTCAAAGCCGAAAGTACGCGAAAAAATAAATAAACATGTTTAATTTGTTTCGTTCCGTAGGCCATCGTAGGGCAGCGTAAGCTCGGCGTAGTCGGTACGTAACTCTACGTATGGCCCGGTGTGAAAGGGGCTTATTTAAAGGCGCCTTGTTAAAGCCGAGAAAGACGCCTTCTCGTCTTATACAAGGCGCCTTAGCTATTTTGAGCCACTCGCCTTCTTGTCTTCTCGGCCCTAAAGGTACCTCTTAACAATGTTAAATCTGAGATGCAAGGCCCTATCAGTGCTTGTGATATGGTGTAACATTGAAGCCCTAAAAAAAGCTTCAAAATGATCAAGAAGTGTCTCAAAAAATTAAAAATCTTTGAGTGACCGGTTTTACCATACTCGTTTCCCCCAAAACACTGTAGTGTTATGAAAACCGTTAGGAAAACGCAAAATTTGATTTCGATTTCCAATCATAAATATCTTGATAATCAGACAGGCGATCGGCTTGTAAAAGCCATGGGATTCCTGACCTACCTAAAGGTTTATAATTATCATTGCAGCATGAGCCAAATCCATTTTTTTGTCTGAATTTCAAAGAGAAAATCACATTTCTAGAAAGTTTATTTTCTGCTCTTCATATGACACCTCAATCAGGAAAAAAGAGCCAGGAATAACAAGGTTCTGTTTGTTTAAAGTCATACTTGCATTTCAAACACTGGTTGTTGCTACGGCAGGCAGCCTGTTTGAACGAATTCGGTTACTAAAATTATGGAAATGTATTACTTTAAACAAACAGAACAGTGATTTTCTTTTTAAAATTCAGGTACCGTTCGCTAAATTATACCTCCTGCGTTTCAAATTACCTACGTACCACACTATTAGGTGGCGTTTCTGGCATAGCCCTTCCCCTTCCCCTCCGGAGGCCCATGTCAAATAAAATACTTTCATTAAGTAGTAACACAAATGCAGGATAAAATACGTTTTTCGCTTCACCTACCCGAATAAAATGCACAAGGCGTTTTCTCGTTTTTTCAACGATCGGTTCATATTATCAAATATTTGTGGGGCCCCACAAATATAAGAAATGTTTTAATGTCTATGGATATTTCAGCCGTCTCCAAACCGATTTTTATCAATTATGATCTTGTCATTTAAATTGTATCCTCTTTTAAATTTGACACTCAGTTTTTCATTATCTCACCTAAAAATTATTTTCTATAGTGCCCTCTATACCGAAATTCAATTTTCCCTTTAACATATGTTACAATAGATGTCCATACCTGTACTACACGAAACACCATCAAAACCGGCTGCACATGTACATGCATCGTTCTCACAGGTACCTCCGTTCTGACATGGGTTGCTCCCAGAACAATCAACTTCACAAAGGAGAAGAAATGTCCGTAAATTCATGACTAAATCTGTACATCCACCATTCTCGATGGAACCGTACCAAAAGCTTGGAATTTAAAATTGGTTTACTTAAGGTTCTTAAAGTAGAAAGAAGGTAGACTTTTCCCCCTCTGTATGGATTTTTTTTTTTTTTTTTTTTTTTTGGGGGGGGGGGTTAAAAGGATGATCTTTAAATTTATTAAGAGGTTAAAGTCGCAATTTGAGCATAACATAGCATTAATCTTTTAATCAATTCGTACGTAACCATTAACTTTCTTTAAACCAAAATATTATTTAACGAAAACGATGAATCCCGATCAAACTTAGCGTATGTAGCAATAGATAACCTGTACTACACAAAACACCACTAAAACCCGTGGCACATGTATATGCGTTGTTCTCACAGGTATCTCCGTTTTGACATGGGTTGTTCCGATAAAACTACACAGCACAGAGGAGAGGAAATGTCCTTAATTTCAAGATGAATCTTTACATTTAACCCCCGAAAATTATGCTTTCATGAAACAAGCTTATTATCAGGGTGGACTTCCCCTTTAATGAACGGGAGGCCGGACTAATTTTCGGCGGGAATATATTTGTCCTAGAGGGTGCTTGTCCTTGGTTGTCCTTAGGGCATATATGTCCGATATGTTAATGGGGTAGTTGTCCTCCGGGGTAGTCGTTCACGGGGGGGGGGGTTCACTGTTGAAGGGAAGGGGAGGTGGGTAATTTTTAAAGATGCAGATAATTAAAGCAATATGGAATTCAGTATGGCTATAATAATTTGATTTGGAGTAAAAGCAAAGCCATATATTTAATGGTTCCATCCAGCTTAAACATACCGTCCACGGGTGGGGGTAATTGTCCTTTAGGGTTGGTTGTCATCGAGGGGGGGGATAATTATCCGGGGGGTAATTGTTCTAATACGGTGCCCCAAGGATGGCGGCATTTAGGATAAAGACAGAAATTAGTGATATTTTTCTGCACGACAAAGGGGAGAGTTATCCGCGACTACGTTACACTACACTGAATTTCCAATCTGAGATTCGCATACATGTATTAAGCAGGGCTCCCACTTAGCCGAGTTAAGGTGGGTTGTGGTGAGTTGCCTCAAAGAGGCACTCGCAATAACTCGCGAAAGCTCTTCCTGTAAACTCGGGATAACTCGCGACAACTCGGTATGGCTCTGCGTAACTCTTTACAACATTCCACGACTCTCCTTGAAGTCGCGAGCAGTTCCAAAATTGTGAACATGTTCAACATTTTTACTCATTCGTTGTAACTCGAGGTGAACTCACTTACACTCGTAATATACTCGCATTACTCGTGACATTCTCGCGATGCACTCTTCATAAGGTGGCGAGTTGCTACGAGTTATGAAGAGTGCAGCGCGAGCTTGTTACGAGTAATGCGAGTATATTACGAGTGTAGGCGCCGTTCACCTTGAGATTTGATTTTGAAAATGTTCCAAATTTTGGAACTGCTCGCAACTTTGAGGAGAGTCGTGGAATGTTGTAGAGAGTTACACTAAGCCATACCGCATTGCTGCGAGTTATCCCGAGTTACAAGAAGAGCGAGTGCCTCTTTGAGGCAACTCACCACAACTCGCCATAACTCGGTTATACAACTCGGCTAAGTGGGAGCCCTGCTCCATGCTCTCATATTTCAAACCTTCATAACTTTCCTATTATTATTCCGATTCATTTCAAACGTTTGCCATTCTGTTTCTCTATCTTTTTCTGCTTTATTAAAATATTAAAATGGATTTATAACAAGGGTTTGATTGCCCTATAAGATCAATTTAAAGGCTTGATGAAACACCCCCAAAGTAATTGCAAGGGTGAACAGAGTCTACAGTTGAATAGATCGTTTATGGACCTACTTCTTCGCTGACTAGCACACGACACTTCAATCTCCTTGTATGGTGGGTCAGAACTTGGAGCGATGCACGTTTTTGGTTGCAGACCAAAACCTGCATTGTACAGGTAAGCGATACTGCCTCCAACTCCGTAAACTAGAGCGGTGAATACTGTCTCTCCTGCACCTGTTACTTGCGTAGCTGATTCGCTTTTCAGCACGTGACTACCTTCCTCTATGGTCACCCAACGACTACAAATCAGTCTGTTATCACTGGTGACGAGATCGTACTCAAAGAGCCATGGTACCTATTAGTTGAGTAAATATGAAAAACAACAACTTAAAACAGATTCAAAGGTGAAATAATCTTCAGTTATTCATGATCGCTTTTTAATCGAAATGTATAGGTAGAAAAGGAGCAAACATGCAGACTGAAAAAGATGTATTTATTGATTTTCTTTTTAATAAAGGGAGGAGGAAATTTGTACGAGCAATTAAAACATACATATAGACTGCGGAGATCCCTGCTGCGGAAAAGTCTGACACAGGAAATTCTACACGCGATACATATTGCTCCCAAGGAGTCACTAACAGCATGGCTGGATCCCCCTGCCTATAGTCTGAGTTCGTACCTTTCGAGTACTGCATCACCATGACTGGTTTGGTCGCTGATATTGAGGTCATGCTCTGATTGGCTATATCTCCTAGATAGTGCTCCCCCATGTTCAAGTCTATTTCATAATTTCCAAATGATACCCTTGTATTGTTTCTCCCGGCAATAACTTGGAATTGATATCCGGACAGTCGATTGGCGAACGGACTTAGTAAAATAAACGTCCCCAGCGATCAAATGAAACTAGCTGTTCGGCGATATGATCGCAAGCTGGTATTCCATCAGGAATGTTTGGACAAATGCCACCGATAATCACAACAATCGACGTATTGCCAGTAATTCTTGTTCCAATGATGTCGTCGTGCAGTACTTCAAGTTTTAATGTTTCATATGGTCTCAAGCTACATATAATAACACTTCCCGGTGAATGCCATTCACCACGAAATTCCACTCTACCGGTCAATTCTATTTTAACTTCAGTCGGTTCATTAATTGCAGACAATAGAACGACACCCCCTCTTGGTTCCGTAAGGGTCGCGATAAAGTATTCCTTACCTATATACTTGATCGGTAACAATGTGAACATTGCCATGCTAAAAGTTTTGATATTGTAAGCCGTCACTGAGACATCTTGATCGGACCTCACCACAACCGTAGCGTTTGTTACACTTCCTACCCCAGTCGTCGTAAGTTCAGGAGGAAGCACGAGATCATAGGGTGCTGATCCGGGTTCAAGTGTGAAATTGAAACCCAAACTCCTCAACAGCACATTGACCTTAACGGAAGTGACGTTGGTTGAAATGGCCTCCACAACGACGCCAATCGTAGGTTGGCTCTGACTTTCGACCAAATTTGGCGGGAAGGCGAACACGAATTCTCTACCGAGATTGTCGGCTCCAAACGGTGCTACAGGTACAATTGTGTATTCGAAATGAGAAGAAAAGATCAATGAGGTGTAATTAATATGGTAGCTATCGATCAAAAATGTGGGACAGTTAAGAATAATCATCTGAATCGCATAAAACTGTAATGTAAACCCAAATTCAGTGTAATTTATAATCTAAACAATCTCAATCAATCAAAGGTCATCGAATGTTTTACTAGGCAAGTATACGCAAATATGGATATTTAGTGTTGTCACCGAACTGTCAACATGGAATGTCCTGCGTTCCTCTCGACTGTTTTCATCGGGATAACTTCAGAGAGGACCATTCGGACTTCTACCACTAGTGGCTGATCCAGGGGGTGCCCCCCCCCCCCCTGGGGAAAAAGAGAAGGGAAAAAAGAAAAAGGGAAAAAAAGAGAAGGAAAAAAAGGGGAAAGATTTTTTTTTTTTTTTAGAAATAAAGTGTTCCTCCCCCCCCCCCCCCCCCCTCCCCTCCCAAGCCACTGAACGAAATATCTGACGACGTCATTTTTCCAATTTCCGGGGCCAAAATAAAAAAGATGTGCTCGTACTATTATTATTGTTGTATTATTATCCAAGGGGGAGGGGGTAATTGTCATCGGAGGTGGTTGTCCTTGGGGGTAGCTTTCCGGGGCTAGTTTACCGGGGTCAATTTTCATGATACGCAATAGCACTTAACGAATGTTACAATTTACATGTACATATATGTCCATACCTGTACTACATAAAACCCCATTCAACCCGCAGCACATGTAGATGCATACTTAAACTAACTTACCGTAAATTAATATCACATCCATGTACCAAATATCAATCTAGGCCTGTACAAATTGATAAAAAGATAAAATCGTAACCTGTATACGTTTATTCAATGTTACTTACCCCCAACTGCAATGTGGATGAGGGATGTCATCCAAAGAATGAGGAGAAGCTGGACAACTGAGTGAGTTTTTCCGAAAAACGTCGTCATTTTTATTCCGTTCATGCCACTGGGCTTAAAATTAAAAAATGATGATGTAATACGATATTATGCATATTATATTATACTTGATATGGGATAAAATGGTCTTTTATAAGATGTATTATTAGTATTAAAGAAAAGAGGGCTCGAGTAAGTACGAATAGATACATTGCAAATTGTTCGTATTGCTTTTTTTTGAACAACCAGGATTTCGTTCTGCTGAAGTTTCAATGAACTACCCCAGACAAGAATACTATAGTTCAAGTAAGGCAACATTAAATTGGAGTGCAACATTTGCAATACATATGATGGAAACATTGGTTTCAGTTTGTATATCACACCAGCATTTCTTGGGAGTAATAAACACAATTAATTTGTAAGTATTTTCCATGACATTCTATCATCAATAAACAGTCCAAGAAATTTAATCGATTTTCCTTTCTTAATTTCGACATTGTTGAAATAGATATCTCCAGGTAAATCGGTGATTGAATTGCTAAATAAGAAATTAGTTTTGTCCAAGTTCAGTGATAGTCTATTCGCAAAAAGACACTGTTCAATATTCTCAAGTGTAGTTTAAACACTTAAAAATACCCCAGACAAATTCGGTTTTTAACCAGGTCTTTCCACACACAACACCACCACCACCCCCCCCCCCCCCCCCGCTATCCCTGGATATTTATGTATCACGCGATAACAATGAGACAGCTAGTGCATACGACTCGGGTATTATACAATGTATTATGTATATAGAAGTCGCAGTAATTTGAGACTTTGCACCCTAAGCAAATTTGCCAACAAACTGCATAGGAATAGAAAGCTGCCACATGAGCAATGGACTATCAACAATCTTGATCTAAAACCATGTTTACACATGAGAAGTAGATTGCAATCTCGACAGACAATAAATGAAGCACTTCGGTAGCTCTGATGATTTGTCTGAACTTTCAAGGAAAATTTTGAGTTTTGTTTACTTTTAGTTTGAAGAAAAGCTGTATTGCTAAACAAAAAATATTGAAATATCTCATCATGGTAGGCGTACTTTCAGACTAAGTTCCATGAACACCGAGCAAAGTCAGATATCTGAACTATACCCGAAGTAATTATTATTTCAAATTGAATCTTTTTCGCATTGATAAGATCTAATTATTCCACAAGTCTACTGCAATAATTAAGCTAGGAGGAGCAAGCTTCTCAGTTAAAACTATGATAAATCCAACGTGGCTACTTCTCCTTTTGTTGAGTTAAATGACTTATTTGGCTTTGCAAATCATTTAGTGTTCAAATAACCTTAATATTTAAGGGTATGCGAGTACTTATCTTTTATCTTGATGACAGTGGCGGATCCAGGGGGGGGGGGGGCCCGGGCCCCCCCCCCCCTTGAGAAAAAAAATCATGTAAAATCACGTGATTTTTACGATTTTGGGGGTTTGGGCCCCCCCCCCCCCTGGCGCTCAAGGGGGGGTGCAAATTGAAATTTTTTTGAGGATCAAAAAAAAAAAAATGTGCTCACTACCCCCCCCCCCCCCCCCCCCCCCCTCGCCCTTCTGAATTACTTAATAATTTATCAATCATCCTACAGAGAAGCTCCTACTAAAAAGGGGGAAAGGAGCTCCTTGCAGCTTTTCACCAACGCCTAAATTGATAAATTAAACGTCTAGCTGTTTGGTCGTCTTCCAACAACAACCATGACAATGACAATGGTGCTCGATCGAACACAAATTCAAGGTTATCGAAACCTTACAGCTGTAAGGTACCATCAAGCGAAAATGACAGACCAGAGTTGTTTGTTCCAAATTGCTGCTTGGTTTTAACAAACCTTTTAAGTACATGTATCATTATTATTTTATATGCCATCCAGGCTCCATTTGTAAATTGAATTAAACAAAAACAACAAAAAGCAACAACACATAAAGCCGTGTGTGCCAGTATACAGTGTTATCTGTGTAACACTGCATTTGCTTCCCAATGATTTGCTCATTTTTACACCCACCACTACTAGATCCAACGGATTCTGTAAAGAAATATCAGTTCCCAAAATCCATACTATAATGTATTTGGAGGTCGGATAACAGGTATTTTTACAGTTAATATTAATTTTGTTTTAAATAATTGTAGTGTGCCTAAGTGGGCGTCAAGACGTTTAACTTCATCTTGTACTGTTCTCATGGATTTGACGACAAGACAGGCATATACCTGCATTAGTTCGCCTTAATCATAAGGACATCATGATAAGCAGAATATTATAAATTTACCTCCCTTAGGGTTTTTTTTCTCGTAGTCTTTTAACTTGAGACATTTTTATCTTGTCTACAAGTGTGAAATAATAAAGTCCTATGTTGAAAATGTATATCATTACCTCCTAAGAGAGATTAAAATTATAAATGTAACCGACTTTGTTTGTTGAAGTAATATTTGCCTCGTAAATTCATTTAGAAAAATTATTTTTAAAAAATGAAATAAACAGATTTTCCATCTTTGGAAACATGTTATCTCATGTGATTAGCTACTTTGAAGATGCTAACCTCTGAAAACTTTTACGAGTTTTATGTAATATAATACCTAAATTATACATATAAAAATGAAGGATAATTAGAATTATATTAGTATGAAGAACAAGTCGAAGAGGTCCCTTCCTATCGTGGTGGATGGTCTATTCACAGCCAGTCTGCTTTCAATCCCTGTTTCACATAAGCTGACAAATCACTTTTTGTGTCTCTTCGTACTTTTTCTATTCAAGTACATCTACATAATTATACGCGCTATTTCCATCAGTATCAATAATTCATTGCATTTCCCCCCGGTCCCCAACAGATACGAATC